GGGGGGGGGGGGGGCAGGACTTACCTGACAAAATGATGGGCTCTACCTCATCATATTCCCGCAGGACCCAAAGGAAGAGCCGGGCCAGGTCCTGCAGAGGGGCAGATGGCTCTTGGGGAGCAGCTCTCCCAGTGCAAGGAGACCCAGCCCTGAGGATGGCCAACACTGCCCAGAACAACCCAGGTGGGCTCAGACCCTGCTGAGGTCCAGGCACTGACCCCCCCACCCCCACATCCTGCCCTCCCCAAGGCCACACATACCAGGGAGTAGATGAACTGTCTCCTGGGCTTGCCCGTGCCCCAGATAGTCAATGCAGAGCCGGTCTCTGCAGGGAGGAGGAGAGCACGTCCATTGGAGCCACCTCCACCCACCCTGGCCGCCCTGCAGAGCAGCTCACAGAGCCAGCAGAGGGGAAAAAACCCAAAACAACCCAACCCTTCCCCCAAAAGCGGTAAGAAGTCCTGCTGCACTCACGTTTGGCCAGATAGACCTTGTGGATGAGCCCCGGCAAGACGTGGCCGTCCTCGATGTTGAAGTTGTCGTGTGGCCCGAAGACGTTGGTGGGGATGACGGCGGTGAAGCGGCAGCCGTGCTGCTCGAAGTAGCCCCTGGGTGAGAGCAGGGAAGGTGCAGGTGGGTTCTCCACCAGCTACTGGCACCCACCCCTTACTCACAGAGTTGCCCCCAGAAGACCCTGGCCAACAGCATCTCCCATCTCCTGAGCCCAAGTATCCCCCCCGGTCTGTTTAATTCCTGGGAGTCCCAGGGGCTTCCCCTTGCCCCGATAACCAGCGGGTGCTCACAGCCTGTAAACTCTTTCTCTCATGTCCCTCACGCACCTATTCTGGACGTCGATCATTCTCTTGGCATAGGAGTAGCCAAAGTTGGAGCTGTGAGGTGGCCCGTTGTGAATCTGGCGGGGGGGGGGGGAAAAGCAGAGAATTAAGCAGGGCAAGGACCCCCTGGGCTGTGCCTGGGGATGGAGATGCTCACCATGGTCTCATCGATGGGGTATGTTGTTTTATCTGGAAAGATGCAGGTGGAGAGGCAGGAGACCACCTTCTGCACCCCTGTCTCATATGCTGAGTGCAGGACATTGTCGTTGATATGGACGTTTCTCCTCTGGGGATGGAGAGATTGGTCAGATCTCCCAAAACCCTGCACGCTATGGGTAATAACTCATTAATAACTCCAAAACCCAGAGGAGCTCTGGTGAGGTGCTGGGAGCAGAGCAAGCCGTGTCCCAGCTTGGGGAGGGCAGGGGGCTGCAGCACCCACAGGGATCCCGATACCACTGATACAAGGGAATGTTCACCTCCTTTGCAACTTATTTACTTACAAGTTATAATGATTTCTGAATATTGCTTAATAATCCTTGCTTGCCCTGACTGTTCTGTAGAAACTCACCAAGGACTACTGTGTTCAGGAAAAATAAGAGACACGTCCTTGGAAAGCAGATGGGTTCTAACAAGTTGAGTCCCTGTAGACTGTATATGGAGAGTAGAAACTCATAAGCTAGTGCTTTTAGGTAAGACAGAGGTGGTAAACTGGCTGGAACCCCTCTTGTTCTTCAAGAAATTGGCTGAGAGAATCTGCATGTGCTCTGAGGACAAGGTGAAGGCGGCTGTGAGCCTTCCTCCAAAAGATCCCTGAAAACACCCCCCAGGAGGCAACGGGCAGGCGCAAAGAGAACGTAAACTGCTGACACCGGCCTTTTGAACTAACCCAGCCTTACTTATGCATATTTATATTTGCATTACATAATTCAATGAATATATATAGCCACACTATAATCTGGTGAAACGTGCTGTTGGGGGTGCAAGCTTTGTGGAGAGATCCCCATGCAACCCGGCGCCAGAAAAAACATCCCTACTTTATAACTCTCCCCCCACCGCCCCGTTGCAGAGTTTCTTTCTGCGCATCACCACCCCTCCCACAGGATGCTCACCCAAAAATCTAGGTTGTAGCGGATGTTTTTGAAGAGGCCCCCAACCATGGCAGCCAGGTGGATGACATGGGTGGGCTTGTGCCGCTCGAACAGGGCTTTGGTCTCCGTGGCATTCCTGGGATGGGAAATTTTGGGGTTCAAGCAGTGCCAAGGGAGATTTGATGGGGGGGGGGGGGGGG